TTTTTTTTTTTTTTTTTTTTTTTTTTTTTTTTTTTTTTTTTTTTTTTTTTTCTCTATGCCTACTTTCCTCTTCATTTTTTTTTCTTTGGTATTGACCAAGATCAATTAATTGAAATGTTGATTTCTATTTATAACTCCACTGTGGCTTAACTGTGTCATCTATCTCAAGGGGACCCTATTCAACTACCTCTTTAGATATATCATCTGTGCCAGCCTTGAATGTCCATTTTCCACATTTACATTTGTCACATACAGATTCAAAGCTAGATGTTATACAGTCCTTCATTAGAGAAGCTGGATTCCCTTATTAAGTAGTTTCAGTGCTGTCACTTTCTTACAAATATTTATCTATAGCTGTCTACCAATTTCACTGGGCTATATTCAGAAGTTGGTGTCTAAGAAATTCTCTTCCTTGTTTTTGTTTTTTTCCAACTCTTCAACAGATTGCCTTGTTATTCTTGTTCTTATTTTATGATTGTGGCTTCTTCTAATGTTCTGTCTTCTCTGCTGCCTTTTGATGGCACAGAAACAATATCTTTTTCTCATCCCTATATTTTATTTATCTTGCTTAATCCTCAAGTTCTTATACACTATCCTCAGTGGGAATTAGGTCTTGTCTTATGATGTATCTTTTCCTTCTCCTTTTGAATCTTTGACAACTTATTTGCTCTACTGTTTTTCATGTATTTTCTTCTGTTGCATACTTCAAGTAGAAGATCTAACATTTATGCCCTAGATACTTCTCATACTTTTTTTCTAAGGTTGTTCTATATTTATATTTTGATAGGGCCTTCCTACCAAAGATGTAGGCTGTGAGAAAAGGGAACCACTGTTTTTCACCAATTGTGTGACCTACCCTGAATGTCTTGGGTTCTTGTTCCTAAAAATACTTGCTGTGTTCTATCAGAACTATTTGTTGCTCTACTGTACAAATGGAATCGTTTGGAGGGATTCTAAAAAGTTGTTTAAACCTTACAATTAATCTCACACCACGAACCTTGCTTCATCCACACTAAAAAATCACCTTGTGCAGCTGATCCATATTGTCTGTTGTGATACATAAAAAACATCTTAGAAATGAAGTTTTGGTTACATCTAATATAATTTGCTATTTGGCTGTGTCTGGCTTTTCAGCCTTTGAACCCATTAGAGGGCATCTTAAAACAGGCATATGAAAAATTTAAATACATTTCTAAAATTCTTTTTACATCATGCTATTTACTCCCCATATTCAGGATTTGGTTTGTTGCCTATGGCTCTTCTCCAAGCTAGATGGAATTTGTAGCAGGTGTGTTATCTTTATCACCTGTTTTATTTACCATATGGGCCCACACGTAGATGTTTATAGCAACTCAAGGGTTGAGAAGTCATTCAAATGTATAGTGTGGTACGTGATTGTACCATATGTTTTCTGCTCCCTTAGTTAATATATAAAAATTTCTGTTTTGATTTCAGCATAAAAGTCAATAGAGTAGACAAGTTAAGTTCTCCTCACTCTTATTGGTCATTAGATGGGTTTTTATGCAGAAAAGATAGCTATAACTTCAAATGTGAGTGGCATGTGAGACCTGATCAGCCTTGATTGTTTTGTATGTAATATATTAAAAGGCTAGACTTTATCCCTAATACCAGGATATTTTAAATTCTTAAGACTTGAGATTCTGAAAATGGTTTATGTTTTCCTTCTTACTTTTGTTTTACTTTACTTGTTATTTTAGCTTTCTTTTTAGATTCGCACTGGAGTGGTGGAAAAAAATCAATAAAGATCTCTCCCTTGTTTTTTACAAAACGTGTAACACTTGCCTGTGTTTGGCTAGCTCTGATTGTTTGTAAATAGATTGTTGACATGTGCAGTTTTGTGTCCAGTCTTTTTTTAGAAGACTTTGTCAAAATCCTACCCATTTACTCTGAGGGAAATCAGTAAACCTAAGAATACCACAACAGGGAAAATAAAAACTGGTCTGTCCTGTCTTAGGAAATTGTGTTTATACAGTTTATTACAGCTGGGATCTTCATGTTATTATTTACCTCCTGCATTTGTCCTTCTCTCTAGGGATCTTATAGATATTGCAAACCATATTGTCTGTCTGAGTGTTTGTCTGTTTCCCATTTGAAAAGCTATATATGCAGGCAGGGCTCAACATTTTGAAATGATGGGAAAACAGGCATGAATAATGTTTATGTCAAATTTTAGTTTGCAAGCAAGATATTCTACACTAAATTGTTAGGAATTAATCACACTATCAGTTACATTTCAAAATGCGACGTAACTTTAGAGAATAAAAATGTAGATTTACCATATGTTACTGTTAAGTGGCTCTTAGCATGACTGAAATGATCAACAATTACTTTTCATAGTGGGCAGTATAAGTAGCTCAGAACTTTGGCTTTGAGGGAAATCAAGAGTGTAACACAATTGAAGTTTTTAAAGTCCGTGAAATAATTTAAATTGATAGATTAACTTAACCTTTTCCCATCAATGGGGACAGGTGCTTTTGCTTGTTTTCCATAAATCTGGATTTATACAGTTAGGACTCTTAGATGCTATTTAAACTTCTGCATTACACTGTCTTGAAATTTACAGAAATGCCATCTGGTGGCTAATTATACCTTGCTGGATACCTTTTCCTTTCTTACATGCACAACCCTGGGTGGCATTAGACATATCTGAGGCAACATATCTGTTTTCAATAGATATATTCCCTGGCTTCATAGGCACATATACTTTTTTTTTAATTTTATTTTCATTGTTATTCCTATTGCACTTGTACGCTAGTTGTTGAAGAACTCCATCCTCAGAACAGCTTGGTCTTTATTTGATTCTCATGATCACCTACTATTTTGGCTAGTTTTCTGACTAGGTAGCCTTTTTCAAATGTGGTTTGGGGGTGGGGGCTAAATTTCCAGGAGTATGCCCACTCATTATTTGTTACTGGTCTGTTCCCCCAATAATTTTCTACTACAAATGCATGCAGGAAATAGTATTCCTCCTACCTGTTTACACCTTCTGTGCTCCAATTTTTGACTCCACAAATAAATATTACCACCAAAACTGACTCCCTTTTCTATTAAACAAAGGACATTGAGGGAAATAGTTACAATGATGAGAATAATGCCTTAGATCCAGTTTTTATATAATGCTAGTCCACTGTACTTATTGTCCCTTGAATCTAATTCTTTGAGTTATTCTGGTTTGGGGTTCTACTCCAACTCTGCTTGATCACATTTTTAGTTTTGTCTAGGATTTTACTTTCCTTCCTTGTTAACTATATACTGTTTTATAATCTTAACTCTCCCTAGCTCCTACCTTTTATTAGTATTTCAGAGGTAAGTCTGACTAATTTGAATTTTACATTTTCAAAATTAAAATGAATTTCAAACATACTCAGTACTTACCTCTGAAATTCATTCCTACCCACCTACCCACAACTGGGTGATTCATTGTTTTCCATTACAAGTACCTGTTTGGAATTAATTTTAACCCAAATATATAAAATTTTCAACTATTTGTCTGTTGAAGTTACGTAAACCCAGACAATTAGTTGTTACAATTGAAGCAACTGAAACACTTGCAAATGTTTTATTAGTTTTTATACATTCAAATGTTTGTTTCTCAAAAAATGACAATAATGTATAATCTAATACTCAAATTCTACAAAGGTAAAATCTTTTCATTTGAACAGGTCACAGCATTGTTGCAAGACTGGGAGCATCTTCTTCCAGAACAAGCATTAGAGTTGTTGGATTATGCATATGCTGACCAGGCTGTTAGAAGTTTTGCTGTCAAGTGTTTGAAGAAGATGAGGTAGAATGTGTATATGGTTATTTGTATTACCAAAGATATAAATCAGCAGTCTTCACTGTGTGGAATTACTTAGTGCACTATTAGAAACATCAATTTGTGAATGTTTGTTGATATATTCTTTAACACTTAGGTTTGTATTGATGCTTGGGGTAATTTCATGTATTTAATGCTTAAAGTGATGTGTTCTTCTTATCGCTATTTCTAAGAATTAAAATTATTAAGTTAATATATTCTAACTGAAAGAAATTTTACTTAGTATTTCTTTAGAATTTTGTATTTTTTATTGTCAATTCCTGATTAATAGTGTTAATTCTAATTCACTTGTTTGATTCCTCAGCAACCTTGACTGTTGATATGTTGGTAATTTTACAATTGTTTTTATGCTTTTGCATGAAAAATGATAAGATATACATTTATTTATCTATTCATTAAATTATTTATTTTATGATGGAGTTAGTAGTAGCAACAGGTGCAAAGGAGGAATTCTGTAGACCTATGTTATTTATTTCTTGCTTCAATTTTCATCACCTCTCACTTTCAAATTAAATTATCAAATTGTTTGAAACCTAAGCAAGTGAATGTTCACTCAAAACGTAACAAAAAAATTGTTAAGATGTGAGTCTGGGAAATTCCTTTGGTTATTCTAATCCTTCCTGAAATAAATCATTTTACTATATTGAAAAAAAGGTACAGGTATTGTTGACTCTTATTGGAGAACATTAATTGCTGTTGAAAAACATTGTTCCACTAATATATATTTTCCAAAACATAGCCTCATAAAGTTTATAACAATGATGTTGATATTATTTTTTTACTATTAAACACCTTGCTATACTGCAAAAAAATGTAGGCAACAATTACATTGCTAGCTATTTGTAAGCACTTTGATTAAGGTATTAGTATCTGCAAGATTTGTATTTGATATTTTCTGAAAAATCCAGCAACCTTTACTTTCATGAAGCCATTTAGGATCTTTCCTTTGATCCTAAATTATAATTATAAGACTTCAAACGCAGTAATATGATTTATTGGTTAAGAACTTAAACCTGTTTAGCTACTATGAAGGGTGATTGAAAATTTAATTCAGTTCTCTGGAAGGTTTAATAAATCCTGTGCATTTAAAGATACATCTCTGTTTATTGGTAACCAGTGATGAAGACCTTTCCTTGTACCTTCTCCAACTTGTCCAGGCTCTCAAGCATGAATCTTACCTATATTGTGATCTTGTACAGTTTCTTCTATGTAGAGCATTAAGAAACCAACATCTTGGACACCAGCTGTTCTGGCTGTTACGGTAGGTAATATTGTACCACAAGAGAGGAAACTGTTACACATGAAACATAGTTCTGTTCTAGTTAACTGTAGCATGACAAGTGTATCCGCATATGAACAAAGAGAAAGGTTAATATATGGGTAAGTGCAACTATTATTAGACCACAAACACAATCTCTGCACGCCATTTAAACCAGGCCAGCCTCAGTGGGGTGTGGATCACAGAGATACAGTATATTTTGTGGAATGGGCATTAAATGATTTTTTCAACAACAAGAAAAAGTATTCTGCCCCTAATGATTATAATGATGCATTTTTTAAGACATCAAAGATATTTCAAGGAAAACAAATAGCAGGAAAAGAATTTTTGCATCTGATTGAAACCTTTACTACTAATCAACTTGAACAAGTGGTGTGGTATAAATGGTTTATAAAGTACTGTTTTACACTGCAAGATAAACTAGAATGGTTTATTTTTTTAATAGAGTTCTAAGGCTGGAAATGCAATTAAGAAAGTTTATACCCCATAATATAGTGTGCTTCAGCTTATTATCCTAGTTTTGCAGATGGTCTGTCATAAGAAGTTTCAATTTTCTAACTCCTCTTACATGGTATAAATTGTTTTGCAGAAGGATAAAAATAATAAAAAGAGAAAACTTTAAGTCTGCTCTGTTTACACTAAAAAAAGAAATAATGCTTAATTTTCGAATTGTAAATAAAAAAAATATTTAACAAATGTAACTGAATACTTAAAATGAACAGAGTTAAGAGAAACAACTTATATGCCACTTGCTTGTTTTGTTCCATTTTCAACTGAAAAAGTTATATGTGGTTATGAAATCAATGATATATTTTTGCTGATAGTTTAAAACATTCATCTATGGCTTGTTGTTGACTATCCAGGTGTTAAAGTTTATTTTCTAGTGATGCAAATAATTTTATATTTCAGTTCTGAGATGTATGTGCCATCAGTCTCGGTACGTTTTGGTCTTTTACTTGAAGCATATTGTCGTGGTGCTGTAAAACACATGAAATCTTTATCAAAACAAGTAGAAGTTCTCAATAAGCTCAAAGCTATTAATAAACTAATCCATGTAGAATCTTTCAAACGTAAGGTGAGTTTTGGTAGCTGAAATGTACAAGTATGAATGTAACTATTAAAGACTGAGATATATATATATACACATTTTTAATCAGGATGTACATTGAGCATGACCAAACATGGTCTTTAGAAACTTGCTTATTATTGTACCAGGAGCAGAAATTTTAAATCTTTCTAATTGTACCTCCACAGAAATTCTAACTGGTCCTTATCAGGTTTAACCGGTCCTCTCTAAGAACGTGTATATGTGTGTGTGTGTGTATGTGTCTATGTATGTTGTTTTTATTTTGTCAATTTCAGATGTGAATTTTTTAAAGAAAGACACAATTGTAAATATGTATGTGTATATATGTGTAACATTAAACAAAATGTTAACAGAAAACAACAGTTTTTAATTATATCTCTTTTCGAGTGAAAATATTCTTTATATTAATATAAAAAAAAAGAGAAATAACTTGAAATTACTATTTTAATACTGACCAACAGGTAAGGTTTTTCTCGACAGATGTTAATATTTGCCTTATTCCATTTGGATTTGTCCTGCCATTCATGTTTCAGGAACCTACTTCTTATTTCAAATGTCATAAGAATTTCTCATAATGTCTAAAAATAGGTTGGGGATCCCCAGCAAGTTGGAGGCTATATTTGAGAGATTAAAATGAAGAAGGTACTTTCATGATACAAAAACTATGACTTTAGGGAAAAAAGTATAGAAATGCATGTGTGATGACAACATAAAATAGGAAAAATGCTTAAACTTGTAATTTGTCTTGTTAGACTGATCAGATTTTTTGCTATTCTAGTCGTTCCGCAGGTCTCCTAGCTGACCAGGGCCAACTAAATGATGCAAATCTTAGACCCTGGTTAAAACTGTTTCATTAACATCAATCAAAATTATAATTTCTTTCAAAAAAAATTATTTCATCTGAATTTTACTTTGCAGTATTTTTTTCATTTCACACAATAAATATATTCTAACTGAACTAAACACTTTATAATCATATTTACTCTAAGTGCTTCTATTTTATGAAGATTAATTTCTATTTAGTAAAAAGAAAAGTACACTAAAAACTCATAAATTTTTTTAAAGTTGTAGAAATTAAAGACTAAAACATGAACATCCACACTTTGAACATACAAAAGTATTCAGTTTATTGTGCAGTTTGAAGTATTAGAAAAAGACTATCATGAAATGTGAATGTTTTTAACTTTTCCTCTAAACACACCTTTCTGTTTCTGGGAGTCAGTTTCAATATTTTTATCTTTTGAACTAGATGTGGTATTAGTATATGTGTTTCTAATAATAATATGAATATTTTGTTATGTGAGCTGAAACTATAGATAGAGTGATGTAATTTCATGATATATATATATAATATTGTGTATTATGAATTTGAACTTTAAAAACTGCTCATAGAGAAACAAAGCAAAGATTGGAAAATGTAATATCAAAAAATACACAAGATTTTTGTACTTTGCTCAAATAAATGGTTGTCATTTATTGCAAAATATTTGATTCAAAAATCATTGTTTAATTGAACCTTTCTGGTAAGAAAAAGGTGCTTAATATGTACACTATAGACTTTAAATACTTTATTGTTCATGTTTCCATATCTGTGCTCAGTTTTATTTTCCTTGATTTATAATGATACTCAATTTCATATGAGTGTTCTTTGTTGCCTTTTGTCTGCAATAGTTTTAGGAGTACATATTCCTTAATACTAGAAAAGCTTAGTGTTTTTTGCAACTGACTAAGACATTTGGCACATGTCGGTTTGTCACTACCCAATTTCTATACCTCACTTTTTGAAGTTGAGCAATTCTGTGTGCTGAGAAGTATGTAAATTACAATGTATGACTTATTCATGTGTAAAAATGGTGAGAGAATTGAAGACATTTAGTATATTTGCTGTCTTCTTATGGTTTGGTACTATATGGTAACATTGACACGTGCTACTGACATAATCCAAGAGTGTACAAAAGAGAGAGAAAGAAAATGAGCACATTTGAGGAAGAGTTTTGCATGAAAATAGTTTGTAGCTTTTCAGTATGTAGATTATTATAAATTGTTTTTCACTGCTAAAGTACACACATGTAATTTTATTTGTGATTGTTTTTTTATTATAGGAATCTAAGGAGAAGCTAAGGTTTTTAATGCAAGAGGCTCTAACAATGAACTGTAATCATGATGTCTTTATTGGCCTTCATTGCCCACTTCAGCCTGTCTATAAGGTTCATAAACTGAGGTAAGACATTTTCAATTCAGTTCTTGTTTGTGAGTAGATGTAAAACATCGTTAAGCAAATTCCAATTTATTGTTTATTATCTATTTAGAAGTTAATGATCAAGTTTTTTGTAAGAGACTCAATTTGAGATCCATTTTGAAAGTTAGTTTGGTAAATACTTTTTAAATATACAATATTGCTATTACTGACAGATATTGGTTACAGTTTATTATGTACATATATATACTCAATTTACAGAATGCATTTGTCTATAATTAATTCAAAATGATACATTTTACTGATGTTATACAGTTATTATAATTTTGAATGTTGTAAAACTCCAAAAACATTATATTTTAAAAAATTGAAAATAGTAAGGTTTGAGGTTTCCGTTTTTGATTTTGTAGAGTTGAGAAGTGCCGTTTTATGGATTCCAAAATGAAACCCCTGTGGTTGGTCTGTGAGAACAGTGATTCCTTTTGCCAAGATATTTATATGATTTACAAGAATGGTGATGGTAAGGTGAATTTAGCATTTTAGATGCTTATAAAATAAAGTGCACTTTGTTCAATAGAATTTTTGCAAGTAATTTATTTTGTTTTGAAGAATAGTTTTTATATGCACACCAAAATAGTTTTAAAATTATGCAACTCTTGCAGTATATTTCAACAATATCAACGTTTGTTCTAAATTTATCCTTATGAAATTAAAATACAATTCAAATATGTTTTGTGTTAGTTAGTAGTGTACATAGTGATTATGGTCACTTCAAGTATTTTGTGTACACAAACTTCTGTAACATTTGGTGCTGTTCAGAACATACTTCTCAGCATTCCTGAAAGCTTTTCAACAAAAATTAAAAGAACATCTTGAGAACTAATAATTATTAGAAAGGGTATTTATGCTGACAAGTGAAGTTAAAAAGAAACTTAATAAAATATGAATGAAAATACTAAATTAAACATAGATTTAAATCTATCTTCCCTGAAACTTGTATGATTTTTATATTTGTTAGAATACATAGACTACTGAGATTCACTTTCTCAGAAAAACTTTGTAGTTTTTAGATAATTAACAAAACCAGCTGCTGATCAGAATAATAGCTATTACTTAATAGATATCAAGATATATCAAGGAATGTTTCATACATTCGAGACTGTAAATGCTAATGATTTTTCAAACATAAAAAGAAAATCATTCAATAAAGATTTTGTGAATATTTTTTGAGGAAAGTTTGACTGTTACCACCAATCTTTAATTTTAAAATTTGCTTAGATTTTACCTTGTATAGTTATCAAACATTGCTGTAATCACTTAGATAACATCTTTCTTTTGAAACTAATTGAATATATCATTTCATTTTTCATGTATTGCATAGTAAAAATAAAATATTATAAAAACTTCTATTTCATGTTTGTCACATTGATTCGTTTACTGCTATTTTAAGGTTGCAAGTATATTTGAAATTTAATTCTCTTTACATAGTTTTACTAGAAACAGTGGCGTAGCAAGGGTTCTCAGCATCCGGGGGCAAAGACACTTTTGGCGCCCCCACCTCTGAAATGTTTTGATTATTTGTTTAGTGACTCATTACCCACTTAATGACAAAAACATAAAGAATT